ATTGGTACTGGAACTACTTTTAAATCGAACAATTCGGTATTCGAACGAATGTTCGAAAAAGGTGGCCGTATAGTCGTTCGTTTGTTCGGCCGAATCAACACGATCTGATAGAACAAATTTTGAGCTTCTCGGGTTGTTTCACCTAAATAGGGTCCAGCTTCCCATAAAAGTCTTCCTGGGATGCATCCTCCTTGGCATGTCACTGAGGTGTCGCATTGTCGTAACCAAATAAATCAAACTAATTGGAACCAGCGATTATTTATTACGACATAGTCACAACGCCGGCCTGCAACTTTTCGTCGCAATGTTCTCAATTGTATTAGTGGTGGTATTGTTTCTGTTTATCATACTTTTGCTGTTAGCAATAGAGTCGTGTATCCAATTTCGTTTAAGGAAAATTTTTGAACGGATGTAACGTGGCTTTCATTTTAAACTGGAAGTGCGTATATAGTTAATCTGAGCTTCCTTTCTCTATACTTTTTAAATCTGGTTTCGACTCCCATCTATCTGACCCCTTTCTCGAGATTCGAAATGGACAGAAAGCAAGACAGCGAACGACAGTCAGAATTTATAGGTCTAGCCCACCAGTGGGGAGCGGTCTTCGGCACTTGAGTAGAGTAGACCCTGACCACTGGGAGTTCGGTCGTGGGTTCGTTCCAAGCTGTGACGGGCTGGCAGCGTGGAGTTTTCCGGATTTTTTCCATATCGATGACGCCAGTTTTCCATAAAAGTCTTTCCGGAAGGATTTATCCCCCGCGCGAGATTAGGCCGTTCTATAAGGCAAACTCTTCTGTCGCATAGCGATCACCCACAAATCTCTCGAAGTAAAGGTGTACAGCCATAACACTCTGTATGAACTACCAATTACTGAAAGAAAGAAAGAATTTATAGGTCTACAGTTTTTTCAAATTGCAGTCAATAATTTAATTAAAAACGCGATATTTACTTCCCATGGAGTTTATACAATCTTTTGCCAAAATGTAAACACTTTATTAAGACACGCAAGCAATTATTCTATATCGTGTTTTATTTAAACAGAAAGCATTTCGGACGTTAAGGTCTTCTCTTCCAGGAAAAGGGCAACGACAACTTTCGGTCCAATTAACTTTGAATCCCTTTCGCACAATTCCTTTTTTTTATCGGACCAGCGGTATGGTTGCATTCGAATAGGAAAACTACGTAATACGAGGTTACCGGCCTTTACAAAATATAAATTAAATGGTTTTCTAGTGTATCGAGTTTAAATATTCGGAAAGTGTTTTGCGAAATTTGATTGGTTGGCAGATTACTATTCGATATTCGTCTGTGAATGGAACAGTTTCTTAATTTTAATTTATTTAATATAAAATATATGCTCTCCACCTTAAATTAGTAGTGGCGTGGACCCGTTCATCATACTTTTTCCTTTAACAATAGAGTTTGCTGGTCGTCGATACAATTCTTTAGAAAAAAATTAAAATAATCTGACTTTCAGACGGCATTGGAGTTTTTTAAACAGTTGATTCAAGCCTCTTGCCATTAGATTTTCATATCTAATGTCGTCTTTCATGTATCTAACTCCGTTCTCGAAGTTGAAGATGGACAGACAGCAGACAAATGAACAGATAGAAGGCAATGAGAGTTTATACATCTACAATTTTTTCAAATTGCATCTCAATAAATTAAATAACTGTATTAATTAATTTACAATAATTACTTATCGATAAATCTCTTTTTATTAAATTGCTTTTGGGCTAAATAACTTTATCTTAGACAAAATGATAAGCGTAAGCTCTCAACTTTTCTAATTGCTGACTCACGCAAGTATTGATTAGATTCTGTCAAATTCATGAATTGATTTTCACATATTTTGATGTTAAACTGTTTAATTTTTGAAGATTTACCTTTATCTAGAGTTAGATCTAACTCAAACTTTTGGTCTAAGGCAACCTTTTGCTTTTTCAACTCCAGATCTTCTGTATTTTTAGGTTTTGCTCCTCTTTTTTTACCAACAGTTTGTTTCACGTTAAAATCATAATCACAGTCTAAAATTAATGTTATATTTATTGAAATATTTTAAGTAAAAATATTAAAAGATAAAATAAAATACTTACCTTCTGAAGACATTTTTCTTAGATATATAAGAGGTTCTTGCAAAAGATGTTCTTAGCTGGTATCTCAGCAGTGTATTGAGCCAGTCTCTTATATCTAGTATTTATACTATCACTGAACATTAAAATAACACATAACACGGATGCTAATTAATATTTTTAGACAATATGTTGAATAACAGGAGGTTCATTAATAATTTGAACACGAAAATAACACACAACACGGATGCTAATTAATATTTTTAGACAATATGTTGAATAACAGGAGGTTCATTAATAATTTTAGAATAACACGACGTCTATTAATATTCTTCAACTATACTTTGAATAACNCATGTCGGATTAAAAAACGTCGGACTATAGAGGGACAACTGTACTAAATAATTGCAGTTATTTCAATTAACTTTTATTGTTTGTACGAAAAATAAATTGATCAACATTTTCTGTATATGATCTGAAAAATGTGAAAACTTGAAACACCTGTATTATTTTGGCATTTTGAAGTGTAAACACAACTTGAACGATAAATGTAAAGTGACATAGTAAAAACGTAATGGAATATTATACTTCGAAAACATACAGAAGAAACTACATTTATCTTGAAATCTTTATCATGTTCAATTACTTTTTCAGGTGAATTTTCTTGACAGAAGTGTGAAAATGAAGGTAGTTTATTCACTTGTGTAGACAGATAATGATTCAAAAATCTATAAAACAAAATACATCTATGTAAATGAATTCGAACACAGCCTTATATTTATCATGTATTACAGTATAATCTTATCTTTCATCATTGTAGACAATTTCTACAACTTCTTGATTTGTTCGATTAATTTAATTTCTATTGTTTGTGATAACTCGAGTAGTTATTAAAACCTACTAACCTATTTTAATCCACTGCTGACTGATAACTTCGTTGGATGTATTCATCTGGTGTACAGTTATTCTACTATATCAATTACATTATATTCTAAAAATTACGTGTGAAAAATAACTAAATGTTAGTTTTTATTGTGTTTTGAAACAGAAATGTTTCGAATAATATTCCTGTAAAAAGTTTAAAAGGAATAAATTTAGTAGGGAATGACAAAGGTTTACTGATAACATTTATCTGTAAACTATAAAAGGTAAGCAAAGTTTAAAAAGAATAATAGATATATTACGGTAAAAGTGATTAATCGGTGATTAAACGTAATCACCAGTTATCTCGGTGAGTTTGATATTATATTATCATAATAATGCCAAAAGATTTGTAGGAAAAAACTATAGAACTGTAGTAAATTTACTTCTTACTAAAATAATTTTTTAAATTTTTTTCCATTGGCATTCGGTTAAATTACACCTTCTTTATATAAGCGCCTTTACTACCATCGACTAGAAATTGATGTTGCTCTTGTACATACTCAACAAGACAATTATATTCGGTACATTCTTTACTGTAATCAATTGTTCGTCACAGAGCAATAACTGGGTTTTTGTATGCAATTGTGAAAAACATTATTTCTTCGTTCTCAGTTGATAGAAATATTTATAATCAGTAGTAAATATTACAGCCGATGTATTTAGCGGATCGCCTTTTGCGTATTAATATTTTTACTTTTTAATGCTACACTTAATGCTATTCTGAGATTATCTATTCTTCGCGAGCTGCAGAAATAATTTGTAATCCTTCAATCTAGTGCTGGGTATCGTGGCTTTCGTCACAAAAACATAGCGTGTTTTCAATGTCTTAACTTGCACATTCATCTTAATTTTTAGATTGACAGTGCTTATATTTCCGTGTAGAATTTCATTTCATTCCACATAGCATAAGCTTGTTCATAAAGGTAATTACAGTATTAATGAATTTTGTTACTTTGTGACATGCTGGGTGTCCCCAAAATTGTGAAATGTTCTAACAACGCACGGGGCTCTTCTTCTGAACGTTTAGTTTACAAGAGAACGTTGTGGTATTGATATACAGAGAGCAACTTATAATTTTGGTCTGGCTTAAACTACATATTAATGAGGTCCACTTAAAAGTATTAACGAAATTTACTACCTAGACTGGAAAATACGCATAATATCTACTAAATGTAATTAATTTTGCTATATGTGAAAAAAATTTATTACTTTTACCGGATTAATAACCGGCACTTTTGTACTATTAAACCTAATTAAACACTTCCATCACAACATACGCATTTGTGGTCCTCACGTAGAAAAAAGAAAGAAAACAAGAAAGACTTATTTGTAATAAATAAATTACAATATAGTATAAAATTAGATTGTTTTGTACAAGTGTAGTGTACATAGAAGTGGAGACACGTGGAATATTATTTAATTTAATAAATTACTTAATACGTAGTTTATCAACAGAATTCTATACAATAAACAACAAATTTTATCATTTGTCAAATCATCTGTTTATTGAACTTATACCCTTTTGTTATTTAACCATTTTAATCTGTTTAATCTATAATTGTTTTTCGAATTAATTTAAATTTCGTATTTAATTAATTTAAAAATAATAATAGGTTACACAATTGCATTAACTTTGTAATCTATTATCTAAAATTGATAATAGATAAGAATTAGTTTTTTTCAATAAAAAGATAATCATAATAAAACTTTTAATGTAATTGATTATATACAATAAAAAATTATATACTGTACTTTAATTTTTATAATTAATTTTTTTAAATAGGAATGAACAGAAATACGAGTTTTTTTCTTTCTTAATTTTTTTGTATTTTCCCTGAAGCAAAAGGATTTGCATTTCTAATTTTCTTTATATTTTTAATGTAAAATATTTACATATTTCAGTACTTTTCTTTAATAATGTAACAGAAATACGTTTATAATAAATTTAATTTACACACACATCTTTATTAGAATCTTTATCCAATAAAATAATATCAAGCAAACAATTGCTTTATCTCACTTGCATACTTACTTTTTGGTAAAGTCTGTTTTTTGTCTTTCTTTCCCACCTGTAAACAATATACACGAATACAATTAGAAGGATTACAATAACAAGACTTAGAACGGTAACATAGATTTTCCATTTTACAGAAGAAATCGCAATTACTTCAGTTCGTGTGCAGAAATCACCAGACACAATTTCGGCAAAAGACAGAATAAACGAATTTCTTTGACACGAAACTTTTGAGAAATCGGCGATTTTCTGCATGTTCCTAAGCAACCAATCTTTAGTGAAACGTGAATTACAATCACAACTCCAATTGTTTACTGATAAGGAAATTTTAAATTCTTTAGAAGTGTCTATGAGATTCATTAATCCCGGAGAAAGTTCTGTTAACTGATTTTTATCTAATGACAGAAACGTTACGTGTGGAGGAAGGAAACAATCTGGAAAATTAATTAAAGAATTATTGCTTAAATTTAGATGCCTGACGTTTTCCCATCTCACAAAATCCAAATTTAACAATTCTTTTATGTAATTATTACTTAAATCGACGATGGTTGTATTTTGGAGCACAGCTTCTGGTATTTTCTTTATTCCTCTTCCAGAACAATTTAGCTTCACGTTATTATGTTCTGCAACACATTCACAATTCAGTGGACAATGATTTCCTATATTAATAAATTTTGTGTTTCCCAGGACGTTTCTTCCTTCTCCATAGCATTTCATATTGTGTATATTTGGAAACATTTTTAATGCTACATCTAAACTATACGTAAGTGTAAAAACAAACTGCTCTAGTTTGTGGTCACACGTGATTGAATTATTGTTTAAATCATAAGTAGGCATTTGAAATCCATACTTCCACTCATCCAAGTAAATTGTTCTGATTTTGCACTTAGACAAATCAATTTTCATGTCATTTGGAGTGTAAATTGGCAAATTCACTGTTTCAAAGTGATTATTTGCGAAATCTACTGTAGTCAAGTTGTATTCTGTCCAATTTATTATGGGCCATACTGTCAAACCAGCATTACTTACATCCAGGTGTCTTAGATGATTGCTTTTACCAAAAGGATGATTTCCAGAAATGTGAGTAATATTGTTGTAAGAAAGATTAAGATATAGTAAATTATTTAATGTATAGAAAATGTTTTCAGGTAAATGCTTCAGGCGATTTAATGCTAATATTAGAATTTGCAGGGATGACAAATTGAGAAAAACATCTTGTGGAAGATTTTCTAACCGATTATTCAATAGATTTATGTATTTCAGATTTGAAAGTCCATGAAATATTTTTCTCGGGAGTGTCGTTATTTTATTACCCGAAAAGGAAAAAATCGTCAGCATTTTGTTATTTTTCAGAAGATTTTCTGAAAGATGTTCAAATTGATTCAAGTCTAGATCTATGGCCGTTAAATTGATCAAGTCAGAAAATACATTTTCTTCGAGTGAAGAAAAGGAACAACCCCATGCATTTAACTCTCTCAAGTTGTGTAGTCCCTTGAAGAATCCAAACGGAATTTCTGATAATCTCTTGTGTCTATCAATATACAATGTCTTTAAATTAGAGAGACCCTTCAACATGTCACCAGGTAAATTCTTTATTTCGTTCCAACTTAAATACAAATATTCAAGTCGCGTGAGATTTCTAAAGACAAATGGAGGAAACGATTCAATGTGATTTTCACTTAGGTCCAGTTTTGTCAAATTCTGAAGGTTGTAAAATAGATCTTCCGGTAAAACTTTTAACATTCCATTCGTAATGTGTAACTCAGAAAGATTAATTAAATTCGAAAAAGGTCTTTTTTGAAATAAAGTGAAGTTATAATTTTTAATCTGCAAAGATGTTAGTAAAGGAACATTGATGAAAATCAAATGAAGTAAATCAGATGTTCTCACGCCTTGAATCACGACAGATTTCAATGATTGCAGATTAATGAAAGTTGCACTTTCGAAGTTTCTCTCATTTATTGTGTACAATATCTTCACGTTTTCGACTTTATACCCAAAGGTAAATATTCCAAAGTCCATTCCCGACATGTAACAATTACTAAAAGTTATATTTCGTACGTCTTTAACGTTCAAGCATCGCAGGAAATTAGAGTCAATGGTTTCGTGTTCGCAATTGATCAATATGGACTCATCGAATATTTCAACAGAGGAACGTTTACTTGACATATGGCAACTGTTTGCTGACGTTGTACAAGAAACGTTTCCCCAATTTTTCCAAAATTGTTCACAAGAATTTACCATTACGAATAGGAATTGTAAAAAGATAACAAACCTCATTTTGCCCAATTAGACTTCTTTTTTATTTGATCCTATAAATTTCTAGTGCCTCAAAAACAATCCACAAAAAATCACACTATTCCAGGTTGCTATTATTACTTACTTTGCTTTAGCGGTTGACAACACGATAAATTATGACGTGAAAGATATCTATTAATCATATCATATAAAAATTACGTATATATCACTGTTTTTCAATTTTTTTTATCTCGCGACACGGTTGAAGCTACAATTAAATTTCAGAAGAACACCTGAATTATAACAATTCAAAAAAAAGTGACGAGAAAGATCTCATTTTTATAATCTATTTATTAACACAAAGCACGATATATATATGATAGAGTGTGATAGAATAACGTATTACGTCAAAATAACATAAACGTCCACGTAATATTCCACGTACTACGTACCATGCTAATTATTTTCTTTTATGAGACATAAGTTACACTGTACCGCCTATTGTGGGTATTATTTTCTAAATATTTGTGTCACAGTTATACGACACAGGGCATTAATCGGTTAAAGTATTGGAAAAGTTACACAAATTGTATCATTATTTGAAGGTAAAATCATCTCAGTTTATATGCAATTAATTTACAAGAATTAAATTATTTTATAAATTGTACGATGCCTGCAAAATGTATATTTTTCTTGCGTATCTCTGTTTACTCGATAATGTCGTGTAAATTTAGTTTCATTTTCAAGTGATTAATTTATGATAAATAAAATTTTGAATTCCCAAAAGACAAAAGAAAAGATTATTTCGATAAATGAGATAATAAACATGCTCAAAGTTCATTCCTTTTTTTATTTTGAGTAACTTTTGACCCTAAAGACGTGTGTTTAGTATATTAGAAAGGAATAAATGCAAAATATTAACATATTCGTAAATAAAAATGTCGATTATCTGAAATTGGCAGAAAATTAATTTACAAAAAAAAAGACAGTGTGACAGTATTAAAGGATTAAGTTTTAAAGCAACGACAAAGACACCTGGTTGATAGTGTTTACGGGAGATACCTGTATACACAGAGGAATAACTATAGGTTAATGAGTAATGTATACATTGGCATTTATTTATATCCACTATTGTTGTTTCGCTGCAATATGAAAAGATTGTACATCTATAAATTCTCATTAGCATTCGTCTGTATGTCATTCTTGAATTTCGAAAATAATGTTAGGTAGTAAAAGGTAGAAAAAAAAAAGCTGGAAAGCACAAAGACAGTAGGTCCTGGTTATCTTTATAACATCTTCAGGTATAAAACAAACGTAACGAAATCTCAATTCAAATATTTTCCCCTGAGAAAAATTATATTTGGCAGGCACGATTCTGTTACTAACAGGAAACGTACGCACAAGAGCATGACAGTATTAACTTTATCTGGAAGGTTTATATTTTAAATTATTTATTTATTTTTATTTTCATTATTATAAAATAAATAGACAGTATAAAAATGTAAAAATACGATATAATTATTTTTTTCAATTTCCATATTCTAAAATTCACAGTAAGTGATTGTTTGAACCAATATAACTTTTAGCTATTTAATATGACTTGAGGAGACATCACTGTACTGATTACAGTAGAGCGTCGTTTATCCGAAAGTCTGTTATCCGAAACGTCAATTATCCGAAAGAATTCCAGTCGGCGAATTTAAATTTTTGCCAGTGCTGTGGCGCTGTAATCTTTGGCTATGTCTTGGGCTACTCAAATATTTTATGTTTTTGATACTAAATTAACTTCTGAAGTATAATTTTTTATTGTTTTTATATTTTTCAATATAATTATTTTGTTTGTACAAAATAAAAAAATAATTTTTAACGATACAATAGTCTT